CTGCACTCCAGTGCAATTTTTAGAGTCTCTTCTGACATCCATTTTGGTCCTCTCTCCCTCTTCTGTCTTTGCAATGACCGTCTGCACTCTTCCTGGATGATACCTTTGATATCCTCCTATAACCTATCTGATCTTCACTTATTAGTGTTCAAGGCCTCAAACTTGTTCCTGAGATGGTTCTGAAATTCAGGTGGGATAGACTCAAAGTCATATTTTGGTTCCTGTGGACTTGATTTAATTTTCCTCAGCTTCAGCTTGAATTTGCATATGAGTAGTTGGTGGTCTGTTCAACAATCAGCTCCTGGCCTAGTTTTCACAGCTGGTATTGAGCTTCTCCAGCTGTTTTTTCCTCAGATGTAATTGATCTGATTCCTGTGCATACCGTCAGGTGAAATCTATGTATATAACCTGCGTTTATGTCTCTTAAAAACCTTTTTTAAACCAAATCAAGATCATCTTCTTTTCCTGTCTTTTGTGTTATTGGAGGATGGTATTTTACTTCTAGAAATGTTCTAAACCCCACAAAATAATATTTAATACATGTGTCCTATAATTTATGTCAATGAATTTATGTGTCTACTATCTTTTCTATATGTTTGGATTATTTTATGTTTGCATTTTTACAATTTTATTTCCATGCCTTAAAGGAAAATGTAATAATTATAAGATGATCACAAATTCTGCATGACCTAAACAGATAAAACAGGAAATAATTACCGGTAAGCTTTATGATATCTTTCAAAGTCTGATTCTTTCTCTGTTAAAAAGATTGTTGTGTGTATTAAGATCAGTTTATAAAGAAGCTGAGGTCCATTAAATGTTACTTTCTTTTACCTTTAAGAAATCGGATTTTCAGGCTGAGATATTTTTAATTAACCTCAATGTAGTTATGCATTGTGAACCAAAATAATAATAAGATGCAAATGAAATACAGAAAAAAATAATAGGATGCAAAGGGGGGGATTTCTACATACCTAAAGCTGCATAGTAGTATTTTTAATTGAATAGAATTAAAATAATTAACAAAAAGTTCTTACCTTAATAGCATTGACATTCTGTAGTTCTATTAACATGTCAATAAGCAATTCTGCTCCCAAATAGAATGGGAAAACTGAAATACAGAGGAAATCATCCTGATTAACAGGAAATGGATTACAAAGATCAACTGCTTGTTTGAGAAGAATCTGTAACTCCTGAGTATAGTTCCAAAAAGCACGACAGCAGTTCTGAAGTAGAGTCCAGTAGCCACCACGGTGAGCAAGAACCTGAAACAAAGGCAACATTTAAATAATTCTAAAGTTTTAAAAGTTACAGATCTCTGAAAACTCACCTTTCCTCTAAAAGTCTGTAAATTATAAATACAACCAAATAATTTATTACATACCATTTAATACTATAAGCTGGACACTGCATTCTCTCATTTAATCTAACAAGGCTTCTATTAAGTCAATAAATGTTGGCATTATACCCAACTTATGGATGAGAACACTGAGGAATAGTGCTAACTTGCCCAAGATCACAAGTCCTGTAAGGTGAGTAAGGGTTTATATGCCAGGGCTCTGACTCCAAAGGAACCATTGTTCTTGTTTTTGAGGACAGAAGAATGAACATGGAAGATGTTTGCCCTCCTACAGTTTATATTTTCATAAGAAGGATAGTAGGAAAGTTGACAAAAATGTAATTTTGGGAAACAAAAAGTGTTATTATAAGGGAAAATAAAATGGAAAATGGGTCAGAATGTATGAGGAATGAGAGGACATGTTCTATAGACCAAGTAGTCAGAAAATAAGTCCTCTTTGAAGGGGTGATATTTGAGAAGAAATCTAAATGATAAATTGCACAAGTCAGAGATTAGACCAGGGGGCAGTGAGGACAGGAATATTGAGCAACTGATACTCAGGAAATGGCTAGAAAAGGAAAGGACAGAGAGTGAGATTGAAGGCTGAGGAGGAAGCAAGCTTCGAACTTTCAAGATCAGACCTCTTCGTGGAGTGAGCAGAGCATAAGCAAGTGAAAGATGGCCTGAGTTCACAGTGGTGAACACAGTGGTACCGTTGAGCCTTGAATCTAGGTGAAAGGAGGGTGTGGTAGGCTGTCCTAGGTGTATGATGTTATTATTGTTGTTGTTAGGGATTATTGCATTGAGGACAACTCATAGAGACCCTATGAATAACAAATCTGAACCCTGTCCTATCTTGTGCCATCCTCACAACCACTGACACACTGAAGCCCATTGCTGCAGTCACTGTCAATCCACCTAGCTGAAGGTCTTCCTCTTCTTTGTTGTCCTTCAACCTTTCTAAGCATGATGTCCTTCTCCAAGGAATACCATCTTCTGGAAACAGGCCCAAAGATGTGAGAGATGAAGCTTTATCATCTCTGTTTCCAAACAGGAATTTTTTGCTGTTTTTGGATATATCCATGAGATATTCAATTTTTTCAAAGGCATCAATTCTTCTTCTGTCCTCATTATTCATTGTTCAGCAAGTAGCTGAAAAGGCCATGACCTGAAGTTGTCATATATTAGTTCTTAAATTAATATCATTGCTTCTCAATAATTTGGAGAAGTCCCTTACTGCAGACTTTCTCAGTGCAACACATCTCCTGATCCCCTAGCTGCTGATACCAAGTGTAGTGATTATGGATGTAAGATGAAGTCATTGACAGTTTCAATCTTTTTTCTCTATCATGATATTATCCAGTGGTCCAGTGGCAAGAATAAGTCTCCTTTATATTGTTTTAAATCATTCCGTATGTTCCACGAAGAGTATGGAGACAGAACATCCTTTTATAGCTAGCAAGGCTATCTGTGAATTCCTCTCACCTCTAAAGATTGAAGTTCATGCTCCTGCTTTGAGAAAAAGTAACCTAATTTCTACTAGTTTCTTAGCAGCTAATGACTCCAATTCCATGCTCCACAAGCTGTCATATAGTAAAGGATAGGGGAGGAAAAGAAGAAAACATTTGTGAGAACATATAAATAACCTGTAGAATGAGGAAGTCTGGGAGGAGATGTGGGCAGGACCTTCCAAGAGCACTAGTGGTTCAGTGATACAATTATCATCTGACACAAAGGAGCCCTGTGTTCAAGTCCCAGGCAATGCAAGAGGACCTTTCTTAGGGTAGAACAATCATCTTTTGTGCTAGAGGAAGAGGGTCGATCCCAGAACAATACTCCAGAAGGAAAGAAGAAGAGAGAGAGTCAGAAAGCATCAGAGAGATGTGTGCATGCAAAGATTGTGTGATCAGGAATGACAGCCACAGGGCTCTGGATGGATACGTGACAGCATGTTTAAGCAGCTCACCCCTTCCTGAGGCCTTGACACTGAAGGAGACATCAGTCCCATGGCTTGCAGATGTGAAAGAGGACTGAAGCTAAATTCAGTAAAACAGATGTCTCAAAGTTGAAATGAAAATGGTGCATAGCAAATACACATATCTTTATACACATTTAAGCTTAGGGCTTGAGACTGAGGTCTACCATTAGCAAATCAGATGACCACATTACCATTGCTCTCCTGCAATATAAAAATATCTTTGTAAAATGATCCACTAGAGTCAAATTTGATGTTCGCTCCTTTTCTTTGTAGCCAAGGGCTGACTGAGCATTTGAGTCAAAGCCTAGTGGCATCTGCACATTTTTGTCACTCACTGTGGAATTAGCAAACCAAGCAAATTCTTCAGCATCTACAAGACAAAAACAAGGTATAACATGTTTAAAATAGAGAATGAATTTCCAGAAAACACAATACAGATGATGCAGTTCCAAGAAACAACTCATAAAATTATACCCTGTAATGTTTGAAAGATTGTAAGAACAGGATTTTCATCGATAAATTGAACCAGAAAAAGCTTCCAAGGAAAGCAACACTTAGGTTGAGGTTTAATGCGGGAGAATCTGTCAGCTTGTGAGAAGAGTATAGAACATACCAGACGGGAGAAAGAGGAAAGAAAACAATGCAGAAATGGACATGTATTTTGCGAAAACACTAAAGGATCCCTCTGTTCCTTAATTGCCCTCATACAGATTTTTCTCAGGACACAGAAAACAGAAAGTGCATGGCACACCCTGACCTTGGGCTAAGGGGTGGCCCTGGTTACTCATTCCTCTACTGTTGTGGCAGAAAAGCACAAGGCATATCTCTGGACACAAACCTTCTCTTAGAATTCTGCATTAGATAATTACATGCAAAACTCAAACTCTTCTAACTGCTATGGGATTTACTTTCAATTCTTTCAACATATACAGTATGACATAAGG